TCCGTGGGCGGGGGGGCCCCCTTCCAGCGGCTCGTCTTCTTCCTCCTCAGCGCCAGCATCGTCCCCAACGGCTTCAACGGGATGTCGGCCGTCTTCCTGGCCGGCACCCCCGAGCACCGGTGCGCCGTGCCCCGCGGGGCCAACCTGAGCGGCGAGTGGCGGAACGCCAGCATCCCGCTGGAGCTGCGGGGCGGGCGGGAGGAGCCGAGCCGCTGCCGCCGCTACCGCCTGGCCGCGCTCGCCAACTTCTCGGCGCTGGGGCTGCGGCCCGGCTCCGACGTGGAGCTGGGGTCGCTGGAGCAGGAGCCGTGCCTGGACGGCTGGGAGTACAGCCGCGATGTCTACCGCTCCACCATCGTCACCGAGGTGCGCGGCCGCGGAGCCCCCCCCTCCCCGTACCGGTGCCCCCGGGGAGAGGCTGTGCCCGGCCGGGCGGTGGCGGGGCTTTGGCGGGGGTCGTTCTGCCTTCGGGGGGGTGAACCGGGAGCAGCAACCAGCGGGCCAAGTGCCTGGCAGAATGGGTGCGGTGGGACGCGATGCTGCGGGGAGAGGGAGGGATACGTGGGATGAACGGCCCCGGGAGGGGCTGCCCGTCCTTATGATCTGGGCTCTGTTTCCACTGAAACTTCAGCTTGTTTTGTTTGGAGAGGGTTTTTCTGTGGAGGGGGAGGCAAAGGCTGAAAATAGAAGCCCCATAGTTTCCTTCTGCCAGCACGCTGACTGTCCTGGTAAACTTGCCATCTGATGGAATCACTTGTTCCCAGTCTCACTGTGGATGGGGACATGGACACTTTCTGGTAAACACACAAACAGCCTGGCTGGGTCCAGGGCAGTGGTGGGCCCTTGCTGGCCCCGGCACCCCATGCCAGTGCTGCTAGCCACACCAATGTCTTTGGTGGCCGTTGGTGCTGGGTTAGGTGAGTCAGTGCGAGGCAGGTGCCATGGGAGCTGCTGCGGTCTGTGGCACACCGGCTTGCTGCAGCAGGCTCCTGCACAAGCCTGGACCCCAGGCTGCAGCCAAGCTGTGGCTCGGTTGTTAAGACTGTACAATAGCATCATTTGTGCAGCGTGTCTTGTGGGAACGTCGACGGTGATGGGTCATGTAAGCACTTGTTTGTGTTTTCCGGCTGTGCTGCGGTGCCACGGCAGGGACACACAGTCTTTCTGTCTGCCTGCACTGGCAGGGAGCACGGAGCTCTGGTAGAGAAGGAAAACATGATTCCCCTAAAGCTGCAGGGTTGCTGCTGCTCTTTTGTGTTGTGTTAGCAGGGTAAAGGAATAACGGGCTCATCCTCATCCCATGAGCCAGTGTTTGGGTTTGGCAGCTGGCGGGCACTGCAGTCGTTTGGCCAAGCAGTGTGCCCCAGGTAGCCGAGGGACGCCCCGCTCATGCACCGATGGCTCATGCTCCGGCCGCGTGGCACAGCAGGGAGCAGGCATCTGGCCCTCGTCTTGAGTCCCCGTGACTCAGCAGCAACATCTGCCACCAAAGAATGTTGCACGGGGGCACAGCCAGGAAAGGTCCTGACCAAGAGACGCGTGGCTGCGGGTCTGTGGCCCGGGGATGTGGGCGCACAGTCAGGGTCTGTGCCCCAGGGACACAGGGGCAGGGTCTCTGCCAGGGATGTGCGGCCATGGGCTCAGCCGCACCGAAGCATGCGGGGAGGGAGGGGAGCGGGGAATGGCTCCGGGCTAGGGGAGGGCAGGACACGGGCAGGGGATGCCAGCCACCTCTTGTGTGCCAGAAGCGAAGCCATTGGCACATGTGGCACCCGTGTGTGCGTGTCTCTTGCCATTTGTCCTGGCAGTCATGTTCAGTTGCCGGGGATCCCTCACAACACCAAATCAAGGCAGGGGATGCTTGGGAAACTCGTCCTGGTCCTGGCCGTGGGCGAGCTGTAGCGGCAGCCCGGCTGCAGCCCATGTGCTGCACGCAGCCGTGCCCGGCTGTAACCCGTGGGCTGGCACGGCCGTGTGGCAGATGCCTGGTAGCCGCCGCCAGCATGGGCAGTGCCGTGGCGCTCACTGCCAGGAGGAGGACGGATTATCCCGGGGCGGCCATGAACTCATAATCTGTGGTTTGGAGTTAGCAGTTGCTCTGAGGGAGACAGTAAATGAAGCAAAAGGAGGAGAAATGCTATTCCTCCTTAATGAGCAGCAAACAAATTGTGTTGGCAGATGCCAAACAGGAGCCAGATTTGGATGGGATGCAGCCGTGGCGTTTGCCACGGGGCCTGGGGCATGCCGGAGAGGCAACAGCACATGCAGAGATGGAAACCAAGTGCCAGGTTCCCATCTGTAAGCCAGATGGAAGAGAAGGATACTTGTTATGTTTTAAAATTGTCATGGACATTTGGAAAAAATAGAGAATTTGGTTTTAAAACAAGGAAAACAGGTGCTGATGAAACCCTGAAAAGAAGCAGCTCAGTTAAACTTCAGATGATTATTTTTGTACCCAACATTTTTCTCCGTAGTAGGAAAGACAAGCCAGGACATGCCATCAGGAAACCTCCCTCATAAAACCTCTTCAGTTCAATAACTTAATTGAGGAGCAAAACTTGATGGTACAGGATTAAGCACTGGAGATTTTATTTGATTTGTGCAGTTGCATCAAGTCCTGTTGTTATTGCTGCTTTGAAAGGAAGAGGCCGGGAGATGCCAGCTCAGCACCAGTGTTACTTGGTCTGTGACGAGATGCTAAACCCTGGGAACAGAGGATCCCAAACTCAGTCATCTGCTTGGTCTTAAAATGGAGATGATGGCGGAAAAGTGAATGTGTCCACAGCACAGGTGAAAAAGGCGATCATCAGGCCAGGGTGATGAGAACGAGTCTGGAAGTGTAACGATGAGCAAGGGGAAGTGTGGGGTTAGGTGTGATCCTGCGGCCGAGATGAGGAGGCTGCAGGGTTTCCTTTTGCTTCGTGGGCCTCAGCTGGGCGCCTTGGCAGGCACCCGGGCTGCAGGAGCTCCTTGGCCCTGCTGCCTCCAGGGCAGCTCCCTGTCTGCTGCAGCTCCTCAAGTTGTCCCAATATAAAAATCCCTGTTTTCCACCTAACCAGGTGGCTGCTGCACTGGGTCAGTGCCACCCACGCTTGCACAAGAGGGCTTGAGCCGACCTAGCAGGTCCTGCCCCAAAGCAGGGCTGCTTTTCTCTTGCCACCCCGTCCTGCTTTCTACCATCTGTGCTTTGAAATTAATTTAAACATTAACGTATGTATTTTTGTTACATTGGGGTTTTTTTTTTGTCTGGAACTTAACCTACTTCTGCTTTAATTCCATATAACGGTGCTGAGATCTGACCAAAATTAGAGGTTCAAGCACAAGCACCAGTTTTGCTCTCCAAAGCGAGGCATTAGCATCCAGTTAATTCCCTTGGGCCAGGTTGTCTTCCAGCACCGCTCCCCAGGCACACACTCGCTGGGCTGCTCGCCGCTACCAGGGCATGGCACGTACGCCAGGCACCATCGCAGGACCACTGCGAAGGGCAGAGCGAGGGCCGAAGGCTTTGCTGGGGCTGCTTGCCTCTCGCCTGTGTTACCCTGCTCAGCTCCCCGGTCCCAGCCCTGCCACTGACTTCTCAGTGAAGGCAGAAACCAGCAGCTTTTGGGACTGGCAGAGGTGAGAAGCTGAATATGAAGTGTTGTGGTTTGAAGGCGTCTGAAGGATTTTTCTGTTCCCTCATGGCTTTTCCTAGCAGCGGTGAGCAGCCCGGCCCAACCCTGGTAGCCCGCCCAGTGGTTGGGCATGGAGGTGTCTGTGCTCATCACTTGTGCGCTGAGCGGAGCCGGTCTCATCGCTGGACGTGGTGCCCGGGGTGCAACATGGAGGGGGCAGCTCACCCTGCTGCTGCAGTCAGGGCAACTGGTGAAGATTTTTTGATGTCTCTTGAGCTGTTCGTCTTCAGATTTGCTTTTAGAAACAAGGTCAGATTTTCCCTGGTTTACAGCCTCGGCCATTTACACAAGGCTCTGCTAGTGTTTTCTTCTCTGATGTGAATGGGCTGATACTCAGGATGGTTAATTATCCATTTCGGATTGAGAACTCGGGCGGTAGGGTCACTTTGGGCAGCCAGGGCACCTTCTCCAGCAGTTTGTTCTTCAGAAAGCATCTCCATCCATAGTGTTCCCACTGGCGGTGCCTGGCAGAATTGACTCTTCCAGGAGCTGGTAGCTGGGAGCTTGTGGGAAAGGGTTGGAGAGATTTGATGGTAATAAAGTGATTTAACAGTGGTCTTGATCAGCTCTTATTCCTAGCATTCAAAGCACTTGCTTGGAAGCTTATGTGAACTTTGCTCTCCAGTATGCGTAGCCAGGGACATTACCGAATTACTTATTTTCTGGTTAATGAGTAATTATTCCAGTACAGACAGTTTGGAAGTTGTAGCTGTAGGTAGTTTAGCTGTGGCTGGGCTGTAGCTCCTGTGCCCATGGTGTGTGTGGCACTGGCTGTGATGGATGCAGCCTCTGAGGAAGAGGTCAAATAAGTTAAATTTCATTTTTTTTCCCCAAGGAAAAAATGTGAGGAGTCAGCGTGCAATGAATACCTTAAAGCTCTATACATTGAAGCACAAGTGAAATCTTACCCTGTCGACGCATGCTTCATCACTGTGCAGCACCAGGGCTTGAGCCTTCATCAGAGCAAGCGCCTTTGGGGAGGGGAGGCGAGGCTGGCGTTTTGGGAGAAGACGAGGTGTACCTATAGAGCAGGGCTGTATAGATCATCGCCCAGGTCCCACGTGCTGTGGGTGGTATTGGCTCTAAAATAGGCGGTGTGCTTTTTTCACTCAGCAGCTTCAGGTATCCTTGGAGTCAGACGGATTTGATGTGTTTGTGCATTTTCTGGTCAAATACAGCGAGTTCCTGTAGACAGCCACCCCTCTCCAGCCAGCCGGCTGCTGCCTGCTGTTTACCATATCCTGCAAATCTTAAAGACTCAACCCCGTATAGTCAATTTTTGCTGTCTGTGCAGTATGTCATGGGAAAATGTAGAGTGAACAGCTGGGTAGGAGGCATTTGGCACCAAGGAAACACAGGAAGCAATTCAGTTTCATGGGCAAGTTATTATTTAGCTGGGTTTATTTTGCAGCCAAAGTGCCTTTGGCATGGTGGAGGCATTTTAAAAATGTTGACCCTTAACCTTGAGCGACTGAAGTCTAAAGGTCTGGGAGCAGGCGCTGCGCTGGTGGCCCCAAGGCAGGGTGCTCAGCGCCCAAGTAATTCATAATAGTCTGAGTCAGCTGCAAATTCTGCCACCTCGTTAGACACTGGCTTTCCCGGAGTGGGGAAAGGGAGGTGCAGGAGGCCGTGGCAAAGTGTCTCTGTCATGTGGGGTGAGCCTGGCCGGCATGGAGCTGCCACAGCTCCCGCAGCCTGCAGAGCAGCCCCTCTGCTGCCGTTCCCTCGTCCCTGCTTGCGCTTTGTAAAGAAACTCTTGCTTTTAATGCATGTTTCCTGATGCTGAGTTTTGCTTTGTTTTAAATATGGACCTTGATTTCCACCAGGTTTCTTTACAGAAATCTGTTTTCTTTGACATGTGAAACAGATCCCTGTATATATTTTTCACGACTAGCATCCCTGAATGTATTGGAGCCCTACTGACCCGCACGCTCCCATCCACCGTGTCAAACACAGCGAAGATAAACGCAGGTGCATGGCCAGATGGGCCTACACCTCACCACCTCTCCCGTCCCAGCAGGGACAAGAAAATATTTTACAGAAATGGCTGCCATAGGTTTCTTTTAGTTGTTAATCAGATTTAAGTATTGGAGGGACGTTTCAGTCTGCAAATCTCCATATTCCCATGTTAAAGACTCTGTGTGTTTCTCGGAAAGAGGCATGGGCTGCGTTTTGAAGCTCAGTTCATCTTTTTGTCACGTAGCTGGTGTTACTTTGCAAGCTGGCTGGAGGGGCAGAGGTATTGGCTCCCCACCGCTGGCGGTGTACCTTCATTCTGCCTGAAAATAGGCATTGATTGCCTCTGCTTCCTCAGTTATAGTCCAGAGCAAACTGCATTGAACTACACCACATCCCTCCTTGCTCTGGGGTTTACTACTTGTTCTTCTGCAGCAGCAGCAGAAGTGAAGCCCAGCTGCCAACCCATCAGCTGTTGGGTTTGGTTTTGGCAGGACTTGCAGTGCTGTCAGATGGCATCTGGGTCTCTTTGTAATGCAAAAGTTCCTCCTTTTTGTTGCCTGCAGCTGAGCTGAGGAGCCTGAGCAGCCCAGAGAGGAGGTTTCTGCTCCACCACCCCTGCCTTTGCCTGGGCTCGGCCACCGCTTGCTAAGATGGCTCAGCCCATCCGTTCCCTGGGCACAGGGTGAGTGCTGGTGCCAATGATGTCCCCCGCTCTCTGACAGCATGGCTAATTATTAAAATCATGCTATACTTTGATCTATGATCTAAATAGCTTTGTGGTAGAATTATCTAATCTGTGACTGACATGTTTGAAGTCTATCCATAAGCACCCCTGGCAAGCATCCATTAACCGGGAGATTAGTCACTGGGATGGGAGCAGGCCGTGGCAGAAACACGCTCCGCTGTAACTTTGGTGGACGGAGACTCATGATGCTGTTTATATTTTTTTAAACCTTGTCTGGGGTTACGAGCGGCTTTAGGTGGAAGTTTCCACGCTGGCTCCTGTCCTAAGCCTCCAGCCCCAGGCGGGTCCGGTCGTGAGGCTGAGTGATGGGCAGTGAGTCAGCCCTGCAGGTTGTGAGGATGGAAAGGAATTTGGAGACACATCAGTGTGGGAAAAGAGCTTTTATTCTGTGCATCTTCTTGCATATGTCTTGTTGAACCCAGAAATTAGAGAAATGCAGCAGTTTTTGTGCTGGCAGAGGTCAGGTAAACTGGAAACCATCCCTAGCCAGGGATGGGGCAGTCTCCTGCCTGTCTCCCTCCATCGCTCTGCCTTTCTGGTGGGGAGCATCTCGGGCCATGGGGAGCCAGGTCCTGGGTGTTGGGGGGCCTGGCAGGTGCGTGGGGGGGAGATTGTGCAGGAAATGGGGCCAGGGCAGCCCCCGGGCTGCACGCACCGACTGCCCATCGGGTTTGGCAGTGCTGCTGCTCACCCACTTCAGAGGTGGTGGGGTCCCATCAGACGGCTGCCAGTGTTTCAGCCTGATGGGGCTTGCCTGGGGAGGCATTGTTGTGCTGTAACCAGGGCGTTCCAGCAGCAACCTTCACTGTTAAAACAGTGCCAGCGATGGGTGGAAATGTAGGTGTGGGGAAACTAGATTAAATTACATGGAAATGTGTGTGTCTCCAGCCAATAACCCCTCTGCCTGGATGAGGCTCGACGCAGCGTTGCGGCTGCGTCTGAGCACGGGCCCTTCTCTTGCAGTGGAATCTGGTGTGCGAGGATGACTGGAAAGCCCCGCTGACCACCTCCCTCTTCTTCGTGGGGGTCCTCATCGGCTCCTTCATCTCGGGACAGCTCTCAGACAGGTAACGCCACTGCTCCCGCTCCGCTCGTGCACAGAGCAGGGCAGACCTGGTGCCATGGCTGATGTGTGTGTTCTTAAGAGGCGTAAGGGAGTTAAAGGTACAGTTCTCTGAGTTTTGATCAAAATGAGATAACTGGCCTGGCTTTTTCAAAAATCCCAACCTTGATCTTCTACCCCAGGCATAGGATTACTGCCTCTTGGGTGCTTTAGGAGACCAAGAGCTGATCTCTGCAAGGAGCCCACGTGGCTGCTTTGCAGATTGATGTGGTGGTTTTCACTTCACAACCACATTTGTTTCTTTATCCGGCCTTTGTAGTTGTTTAAAAGATGTTGTTCTTTGTCAGATGCTAACTGACAGTCCATTCTTAGAGCTGCAGGATAGAAACTTCTCCTTTGAATGGAAGCTCTGCATAGAAGAGATGGTTTGCTGGAAATAAAGTATGCATATCCAAGAGGAAGAAAAAAAGATAACCTGTAAATGGATAGCAATCATGTCATACCATCTAAGTAGATGCAAAACATCAAGAAAACATTATAGACACTTGACAATTATCTCAGCAGTATTGAACTTCTGGCCTTACTAGTGTCAAATGCAGAATATATGTTATATATGTTCCTTCTGTGAATCTCTGCTTCCCTCTTTATACATCCCTTAGCGGTTTTTTTCCATATCATTATGGCAGGGTCTCAAATACTGCTTTGATGACTGCCTCTTAGTGAGGAGTTCGTAAGAGTTTTGGCGCTCTTCAGGGTGTTTAGCAGAGGGGTTTCAAAACTCAATGGGAGTCTTAATCCTAAAGCCTCCAGCACTAAATTCCATGTGATCTGAATTTAATCTCCTGACTCCTGCCCCTGGTGCAGAAGTCAGTCAGTGTTACTGTTTGAAAGGGAGACGAGATAATCACTAAATCCCGCTGGTGCCATGTGCCCACTGGGAGCATCTGAGAAAGCATGCGTGGCCCAGCGGCAGTGCGGCTGGTCAGCTGCCCGATAGCCCGGTCACCTTCTAGCGTGAGCTATTCGTTGAATTTTTTTTTTAATGGTTTGTCAGTAAAGGGGTATGCTCTGAGCCTGTACCTGAGCCATCTCCCCTGTGCTGCTGCAGAAACCTTTCCTAAGTCAAGGGCTGCTGCAGGCAGCCAGCAATGCAGCCCGTGCAGCATCCGTGCAGAGGGCAGCGTGCCCTGGGCCAGCACGCGGGCGTGCAAACCCGTATGTAAGCTTGCTCTTACCTTTCCATAAGAAAATGCTACGTACTTCTAATGCAGACAAGTGGGTGAGAGAAAGGGTGCAATATGTATGGCAACTCAGAGAGACCGAAACCAGCTGATAAAGCTATTGAAGAGATTCAAAGTGTAATGGTGTTGCAACGTATAGATGCCAGTAGCCTAAATGCCATCATTTCCTAACTTTCGGCCATGTGCCTTGCAATCTTCAGGTGGCTCTCACTTACGTACTGTTGTCTAGTCTCTTTGGTCCCTGTCTAGTGGCTCCCAGAAGTTTCTGCTCTTAATTTTTCTTCTTGGTTTATTTCCTGGGTGTTGGAAATTTTACTTATTTCTTTTTAGTGCTTATGAAAATGATACATAAAATTCTTTAAAATTAATGAAACTTCAGGTTGTTCTGAGCTGCATCTCTTGAGGTTGGATATTTGTGCTCCCTCGTGCTCTCTTATATAGCCCTGCTCCGTAAATAAATGCTGTTTCAATAATGCTCTCCTTTATCTTTTGCAAAAGGTTTGGCAGGAAGAACATCCTTTTTTCGACAATGGCCGTGCAGACTGGCTTCAGCTTCCTGCAGATCTTCTCTACCAGCTGGGAGATGTTCACAGTGCTCTTTCTCATAGTGGGAATGGGACAGATCTCTAACTACGTGGTGGCCTTCATACTGGGTATGAATATGTCTGCATTAGATTAAATGCTTGCTTAATGTACTGTTACTTTTTTTCTCTGAACAATTCCTAATTTAGGCCAATATGATTTCTTTGCTCTTGGATACTTCAGGCCTACACTTTCTACAGGTTTAGAGAAAAAGATGAGAGCAGGAAACCTCTAAATAAAGATCCATTTCCCTCCTCTTTGGAGAAGACGTTGCAGGGTTTGTTATCAGAAGCAGCAGGTCTGAGATAGAGAAGGCATTTGGGTTCCTCCCTGCCCCTCCACCCCTTTGCAGAGGGGTTCCTGCATACCTGGGTGCAAAGCCTTGGAGCAAACCAGCGTTTCCAGGCACAGCAAATGTGGGGGGACCAGAGCGGAGGAGCTGGGCGGGTGTCAGAGCCCCGTTAGCCATAAAGTCACCAGTCTTGGTGCCGAGGTTAGTGATAAAGTCCCTAATTTTAGAGGCCAAGGTTTGTTTTGTTTTCTATGGGCAGTGCAGGAAGAAAGAGCCAGCGGCCGCAGGGAGGCTGCACAGCTGCAGTCGCTGCCCAGGGACCCTGTGGGAAAGGGGAACCCGCAGAATGTCTTGCTAGTCACAGGGTTTTCAGGAAGGGCAACTGCAGGGGTGAATTACTGGGATGACTGATGCAAGCCTTGGGGAGGAGCTGGGATTTGCAAGAGCTGTCTTTAAAATACGCATGTATATGTTTATGTCAGCTTTTAAACCAATCGTGTCAAAATTACAATTTGTAGATCGTAATGTGAGCTAGTCTAAATTAAAACCGTATACTAATAGTTAATGCTGCTCTTTCCTACCCCATGAGGCTTTAACAGGGTAAAAATAGAGCAGAAGAGCACGATATGAAATCAGTGCTATGGAGGGGATACAGCTTCGCGTCCCCAGGCAGCTGTGAGTCACCGCAAGTGGCAAGTGGCGGAGGGAGGATTAAGTAGGTCAGGCTGTCAGCGGGGAGATCCCTTGCCATTGCCATCACCACTGCTCCCTCCATCCTGGTAGTTAACTCTTGTGTGGAGCTGATGGAGCCGGAGCGAACACCCGCTGTGGGAATGCTGGGAGGTATGGCACTGGGTCAGGAGTGCTGGCTTCTGAAGCACATGGGATTTGTGTAGCATGAGCCCCTCTAATGGGGTACCGGATCTGATCAGACAGGAATTTAGCTCCGCAGCTCCCCCAGGAACATGGAGCAGTGCTGGATGCAGATCAGGACGCTGCCTCAGCACTCAGCAGAGGCAAAGCTGCGGGGGGGGTCCAGAGCACCCCACTAGCCAAATGTCCCCACTACTGAGAGAGAGGACTGGGTCTCCCAAAGCAATGTTAGGTTTGTTTAATTGCACAGCTGCAATTTGATGGTACTTTACCCCTTGTGTTGTCTCTTCTGCCATCCTGTTTTCTGTGGAGTTGTTGCAGCAGTGCTGACTCCCTGGGAGCGGAGAGGCAGGTGCCTCGGGCACTCGCTGTGCTGCTGGCCGTTCCCCCGGCAGCCTTGATGCTGTTACTAAGGGCAGGATTAATCTAAACTAACTTAGACACTAGCTTCCTAATTTAAGCAAGTCGTCAGCCACCTGCCATCGGTAAGGAGGGAGGCACTGAGGGAGGATGGTCCTTCCCACCCTACACTGTGTAGCTGCGTGGTCGGCGTGCCCCGATGGGTGCCCCAGCCTCTGCCCATGGCAAGGCAAACCCAGGAGCTTCCAGGAAGCTGCACATGACAGAGGTGCTGGATAGGAGAATATACGTACGAAAAGAAAAGTAACTCCTTAAGAAAGCCCATCCTGATTAAGGGATGCACTGGAGATGCTTCCCTTGTTTCATCCGACAGCAGTCAGGGCTGTGACCTGCACTCAGGAGGGGAGCAGTGACACCGGCACGTATAAAGTCCTCATTGATGCTGGCTGTGCTGCAGCCCTGGCACCCTCCATCCCCAAGTGGGGCATTTTTTTTTTTTTTTCAAGTGGCCACCTCAGCACAGGTTTCTCCTGTCGTTCCAGCTTTCAGCATCCAAACCTGTGTTGCCTCCCCATGCGTAGCTCAGACCCTGTTCCAGCATCCTCAGCCACCCGGGCTCTTCCTGCCCGTTGCACTATTGCTGCCCACCTTCATGAGAATAGTTTTCCCCCTAAGCTGTAGAGATTTTTTTTTTTTCCCAACCATGTCCTGTGAAATTTCTCTCTGCAGCATTTTTCCTTAGCTTTAGGCCTCAATTGTTTTCAGTGCTCAAAACTGTTGTGTTCAAGTTCTGGAACTGTAAAACACTATGTAGGTTTGTGAAGGCGTGTTGGTAGCGTCCCAGAACTGTTATTGCCTGGCCAGCAGGAGGGAGGAGAGGCAGGAGAGAAGATAATTGTAGTTGAAAGATGTCATCTCTATTAGCTTTGGATTGCCACAAATTATAACGTAACATTTAACAGGTATGAACCAATGTTTCAAGTATCAGACCTCTCCAAGAGAGCCCCTATAAACAAGAGCAATCAGTAGAGAAAGATGGTATAATTTATCCCCACACACCATTTCAATCCCTAGGAGTTCTTATCTTCAGCTTTCTCACTGTGACTTTATTCAGTTACTCCAAGTTTCTAAAATGAAAATTCAGGTAGCTATCAAATAGGATTTTTTTTTTTTGTCTTGGGTATTTTTTCCATTTTCTCTGCAATATTAAATGTTGGAGTTCTTACCACGCTACATAACCAAAATATACTCTCCAGGCTTCCTGAGACCCTCCTGTTTTCTCAGTGTCATTTGCTTTTTAATTAAGTCTGTATCAAACTGGGGGAGTTATGGCCCTTGCGGGGCTCCTGATGGAGAGGAGACCTCTGTAGACCCAGGGCTCAGAGCTCAACAAGAATTGAGGTGGACCTGAGGTCATCCATGGATTTTGATAAGCAGTGGCTAGGGATTTCATTGGAAACGAAATTAGGTGCTCTTGAAGGCTTACAACAGTCTCAATTTTTATTACTAGATATTAGGTTGCCACTAGGCTGCACATGACGCAGTGGTTGTAGGATGCTTCCATTGACTGCTGCCTGGCTTACTGGATCAGTAGCGTTATTAGAAGACGGCATCTTCCCTGGTTGTGTCCTACAGCCCGTGATGTGCCGGTGCGACATTCCAGCCTTCTGTTCCAAAAAGTAAATGTGACATTTGTTCCCACCTCACTGTAAATTCACGTCTTTCCATCCTGTGTCAGTCCACAGACCTGCTCTCCTCCAGAAGTGCTCAGCAATGAACTGCACCTTAAATCCCAAATGGGTTTAGTGGGGAAGCAGGCTATGTCCTAGCCGAGCATGCTGGGAAGGCTCCTGAAAGTCTGCTGCCCATTCCCCAGGCCTGCCCTTATCTGTCTCAGACAATGCATTAATCAAAGCAAACAGAAGTTGCTCCTTTATCTGAAGGTCCCCGATAATCCCAGCAGCTTTTCTGTACCGGGTGGGTCCCTGCTGTGCTGCAGGTGACCTCTGCTATCGCTGGTGCTGGCACTGCGGAGCAGCCCAGGTCTTCTCTGCCCTCCCACAAACTGCTGGGTAGGACAGAAGCAGATTTGCCAAGCAGGGAGAAGGACCAGGGAGGAGTGAAGGTCCTTCAGGTCCTCACAACTCTTTCAGTTCACCCAATAGTTTGGCTGGGGTTAGTGTACAGTCGTGGAACTCAGTATTTTGGAAATGAGGCTAATGGAGATAACTGAAATCCTCTCTGCTCAGTCCTTCCCATGAGGAGAGGACATTATGAGCTGTTTAATGCAGCTGGAATGTATGGGACTTGCTGCTGCGGGGAAGTACTGCAGTGCCAAGCAACATTTGGGCTTTAAACATACATTCAAGTTACTGCTCATCAGCTGAGCTGCTTTAACTGCCCGGGTGCACGTTCTTAGGCTGACACAGAGGACAAAACACGTAACGTAAACTCTTTCGCTCCAAGCTCAGCCTCTTTGCAGGTACGCACTAGTTGACCACCAGGCTTGGTCCCGTCCCCGCAGTACTCCCGGTACCGCAGCGGCTTCATGCCTTTACGCTTGCATCTGCCTCTGACCGCGGGTGGGAGCTGGACTGGGTGCTCCGTCATCCAGTACTGGGATTCCTTCATCTCTGTGTCCTTGGGGCAAACCACAGAGGGTTCATGTTTCACCGTGTGTTTCCACATGGTAGCCTTCATTTTCTGCTCCCCACTCATGTAAACTCCTGGCAGATGTGAACAAGAAGACTTTGTTAAAAGGACACTGTCAGCTGTTTCTCTTTTACTTTGCCGGCCTTTGCAGCAGAGAAGTACTTTGCCGCCCGTTGCAGCAGAGAGCTTGCTGAACCGTGGGTCTCTGAATCCTCTGCTAGATCTGTGAGCAAATACTGATGGTAATAACATAGACACTGCATAGATGTTGCCATTACAACTACGTTTAGCATTGAAAACGCTTTTGTATCAGACTCTGCCAGACTGCTGGGGCACTGGAAGAGCCCAAATGGTGCTGGTCCCGTGGGTGCTTCAATGGCAGCTCCAAGGGAAGAAAAATCTGGAGGAACCTCCCCCCAGATTAATAGCACCGTGATGATGATCATCTCTTGGACCATTACTCCTTGACAATGTCCCTTTAAGTATTATAAGAGAAACCACTCTTTTCTAAGATTGTTTAGCTTTTTTGTAAATGCAGTAAAGTAATGATTGAAAAGAAAGAGTTAAAATGCTAATCCAACCTCCCTTGTTTTAAACAGGAACAGAAATTCTTGGCAAATCAGTTCGTATTGTATTCTCTACATTAGGAGTTTGCATATTTTTTGCAATTGGCTACATGTTGCTGCCACTGTTTGCTTACTTCATCAGAGACTGGCGGATGCTGCTGCTGGCGCTCACTGTCCCGGGGCTGTTCTGCATCCCGCTCTGGTGGTGAGTGCCCCTGCGCTGCGAGGCCACGCTCCCCACCTCCCCTCCCCGCCTGATGCTCTCCCGCACCGGGTACTGGGTAATGGCAGGGTGTCGGGGGGTCCTGTTTCTCCTCTTTGGTTGTTTTTTTTTTTTCTATTTGCCATGTGAGGAGGCTTTGCCTTGAGGCAGGAGTTGAGGGGATTTTTTGTTCGGGGTATTTTTGCCAGCTTTAAGTCAAGTTAACTACGTGCAGAGCCTCGGTGGTGCTGGCCGTGTGCTTGAAGGCACTTTTTCACCAGGTTTCCAGAGCAGCTTGGGAATTCTATATTTGACTCCTAACTCTGGACACTGTTAACCACCTCTAGGTTTACCCCCGTATTACCATTGGGTGATTCATTCTAACTTTTCTTCCTTGCTTTCTTTAAGCCATTTGTAAATGCAGATTCACCTGCTGATTGGTATTAAAATCTCAGGGAAAGGCTGAGCCCCTTCACTTGGCACGCAGCACCTGGCAGTTTATTGCACGTAGTGCCATTAAGCAGTTCATTGCACTAGATGCCATTAAGCAGAGGCGTTGGCCGGCAGAGCTCGCAGGGCCAGCCCTCTCCCACGGGCTCTGCGTGCCAGGAGCTGTGTGTCCTCCCAGGCTTTGCTTTGGCTGCTGGAGCAGAACTTTGATTTGTGAGCTCCTTCAGCCCATAGTAACTCTGTCTGGCTAAGCCAAAGTTTGGCTCTTCCTTACCCTGCTCCTCCGAGCCATCCCACACTGTCTTCTTGGTGGCTGAGTCCATGTTTTCTTTCATCTTTCCATTGCACTCACCCACTCCTGCTCTAATGCACTGGTGGACATGTAGGTGCACCCGCACTTGCCCATGGATGCTCTGCCCTGGGGGACTGAAAAAACAGTTTTGGAAAACTCCCTGCTCTTCCCAGCTGGACAGAAGCATTGAAGAAGGGCAGATATCCTTGTTTCATTGCTGCCTAGGTCATCTGTTGTTTCCTGAAGAGATAGGTGTTTAGAAAATAGGAAGGGAAAGGCAAGGTATCATTCACACCCTTAAAATAAGGATAATTTACAATAAAAAGAGTTCCTTCCTTTCATATTAGTCTTATCTGGGGAACTCCGTTCTTCTTATTATCTTGAAACAGTTATACCTATGAGATTAATGTCTTTATCACAATTAAGTGATTTAGACCCACTCTTCTATAGTCTAAAAAACCTCCTGCAGACCTCAGTCTTGTCAGAAGTCTCTGCTGATCGTTTTGGTTTGCGTTGTTTTTTTTTGTTTTACTCTTCAAACCAAACCAAACCTTTAAAATGGTTTTCAGCTCCACTTCTGCTATCATCTGACTTCAAAGATAGTCTGATTCTATTTAAAGGTTAATTTGCTTATTTAACTTGAAACGTTTCAAACTCCTTCAACATGGTGGCATTTCCCTCCGCACCAAGCAGCTGCTCTTTGGGGAGGTTGGTTTTGGGTGGAAGCCTCTCACATGTCTGCTATAGAACAGGCACTGTGAGGCACATGAAATTTGTCCCCAAGGCATGGCTTCAGAGTCCTGCTTTGAAATGTATTTGGTGGGAACTTCCATGCTTTTCAAGAGCATACATCGTAAAGCATGCCAAAAATTTCCAGGGATGGCGCTTCCAGTCTGGGGCTAATGTGGTGGTAGATGGGGATCAAGGTGCACTGGCAAAGCTGTGCCAAGGCAGATTGGTATTAGCTGGCATTTGGGCATCTGGGCCCACTGCTTCCACGGGCAACGTGATTGCGCATCCCACTGCTCTGTGCCATAGTTGCTCTTTTATTCATTCCTCTTCCAAATTCTCCACAAGGTTCCCAGCATCGTCTCTGCAGTCTTGTGTTCCTCAGCTTGCCCACAAAGAAGAGCAGTGGAGACAGCTCACCTCATGGGAAGTCACATTAGTGGTTGAACAATCTGACATAAATCATCTGACGCCGAAACTGTTGACATGGCTTTGGGTCAGTCCTTTAGGGAGTTCATCAGAAAAGGAATGTCTGACCTGCTTTTTTTCCAAGGAGAGGAAAAAGTGCTGCTGGCTGAAGGGAGGAAGGTAGCATCTGTTAAGACCAAAGGATTTAGTTAAGGAAAGGTGAGATTTTCTGTCCTGTGTTTGGTGTTAATTCACTCAACACGTGCCTGGAATTGATTAGAAAATGTCATCAACTCTGCAAGGGGACACTGCCATTGTCCTCTGCCTGGGAGAGCCTGCCTCAGAGTTGTGGTAAAATTGTGAGGTTTGTGTATAAGGTTCCTGTGACACAGAGCCTTTAAATATAACTGGTGCATATTTAAAGCATTGACACATTGTGTGCAGTTTCCTAAGAGTATTTTTGCTCAGCACTGGTTAAGCTACCGCCATCTTTGCTGTCTATCTGGTGACATCTGTTTTTTTTCTGGTGCACATCAATTATTCCTTAAAAAACAACCACCCAGGACAAGGGCCCAAGTGTGCATCTACTTCAGCATGAGAATAAACACATGGCACATATTTGAATTCTCCCACTGATCCCAGTGGGATAAATGCATGAATTACATTGCCCACATGCCTCTCTGCTGACTGTCTTCTGCTGCAAGTAATCTGTGAGATGAGAGCGTAACTCATAAAAACGATACATGTGTTTTTAATAACGTTTTACTTTTGTGAAAATGTTGAGTCATTTATTCTGAAACTTATTGCAGGATCATTCCTGAATCCCCTCGGTGGCTGATCTCCCAAGGAAGATATAAGGAGGCAGAAGTTATTATCCAAAAGGCTGCAAAAATAAATGGCGTTCCAGCCCCAGCCGTGCTTTTCGACACCGCGGAGGTATGTTTCATACGTCCTGGTACTTGACCTCGATGGCAGTTTCCCCCTTTGGCCAGTTGACTTGTTGGGAAATGCCAGCAGAGAAATGGTTTGCACCAGCAGCTCTTAGAGGCTGGCAGTGATAGTTGGCATGAGGTAAGTGCTGGGTTAGCAAGTTCAAAATGAGAAGCCAGAGGGAGGGTTTTATTTGTTTGCTTTTTACAGTAAAATTCTCTTCCTCAGCAGTGGTTGGTTGTGGTTTTCAGAGCAAGGGTGACCCAGATTGCTTCATCCCTTGGGCACTGAGAAGACCCGAGGAAGATGTGTTTGTCCCCATTTCAGCTTGGTGCAGTATTAGCGATTTGCAGTTTAACAGCATCCCTTTGCAGCGGGGGGCTGTGCAGGGGACCCTAAATCGGCACCCACGTGTGCCAGGGCTGCGTGGAGCCCCGAGGAACTCCTCAGGTTGCACAAACCAGCCAAAGCACCCGAGTGCTACAAGGGCACTTGAAAACCATGACGGTAGCAAAGGTGGTGAAGAACATTAAGCTCTTCTTCAGGCCTGTTTTTTTCTTGTGTTTCATATTTATTGGTTAAAAGGAGAAAGCCTAGCACAAGCCTAGCCCCACAGCAAGCCAGGGAGCAGCGCGGCCGCAGCGGGATGGCCGGTTCTTGTGCTCATCTCCCCCTCTAGTGGCTCTTCCCTCGCCGGAGGCTCCTGCTGGAGAACCACAGACATTTTTCTTGTGCCAAGAAACCAGCAACACTTCCAGCCTTGCATCAGCAATGACCGCGTGTCTGTGTGCCAGATCTTACTTTCCTGCATTATACTAGCACCTGCATTTTATGTCTCCTGATGTCTCCTGATAGAGCAGAAAGCAAAGCGCTGCGTGCTCCTTTGCGGGATCTGCAGGAGAGAGCTGCTGCATGCTGCACCTCCTGTGGGCAGGATCCATCTGTTGAATGTCATGCTTACGTTTTGGCTGAGCTGCTGAAGATCTCTTTTCCAAGTGTATGTTCTAATGTAAATTGAAGTGCGTGTTCCAGCTATGGGAAGCTCATCCTACAGAAACCATGGAAAAGCACTTTCCTTACTTCACAGCCAGAGTTCAGACGTCTTTCATACTGGACATGACTTTTTCAGGCTCCAGCACGTGACTTTGCTTTTCATCACTTGTGTATTTTTGAGACCAAGCAGCAGCTCAGCTGTCCTTTACTTCATGGGAATCTTGTGTGCCATAAGCGTCCATCCACAAAAGCCTGAGGATGACGTTTGCATGTTAAGCCCTCTGTTGGAAGTATTTTTCAAATAGTGCTAGAAAGATATTCCTCGGAAACCATCCTTTCTTCCTAGGAAAGGAAAACTTCTGGGTAGCCCCATAGGGAGGGCCAGGGTGGTTCGCTCTTTGGGCTTGGGGGGAAGCCTGGCCACGAGGGCTGGCTTTGCCCTGGCGAGGGCTCCCCGTGCAGGCAGAAGAGCACCCTCACGCCATCCAAAAGATTCCTGCTTCAAGCCTCAGACTGGACCCTCTGTCTCTGATCCGGGGTGGTGGATGCTCCTGTGATGTGCCCTGGACACCTCACTGAGCTCTGGGTGCCGGCAGGCAGGCAGCAAAACTGGGTGGTTTGCTGCATTTATTTCACAACGCTTGTGGAGGTTGAACAGAAGAGTTGAGTGGACAGTGCACAGAAAAATGCCTTTGGTAATGAGGTTACTCCTGGAAGTACTGTGTGAGATCCTTAAGGAAATGTTAATGAATCTTTCTTGTCAGCTGATACTCCTTTTTAATTAGTCAGCATGGTGCAGTCGTCTCAGTGCTACCTTTTTTTTAACAAAAAACTGGAAACTACCACGAGTACAGCTGGGTGCAGAGACAAGCTCTACCTAAGGACTGCCCTCCCTGGTGCAGAAGTGGCCCTTGGGCTGGCTAGTTATCCCCTGATAGAGTCGTAACTTCATAACTGCCCAAACGTGTGGGTATGCAGAGGTTGTTTTGCTCTTAGGTGTGTGGGAATTTTTTTGGTTTTGTTTTCCTCTTTCCTTCAGATGCAGGATTCGAAGCCTCAGCAGCAGCAGAAGGCTATCCTTCTGGACCTATTTCGAACCCGAAACATTGCAACTATTACTATTATGTCATTACTTTTGTGGTAAGGAAATGTGTATTCCTAAAGTACCCAGGCAATAGAACAATTTCTGATTTGAGGGCACGTGCCACAGGTTTAGATGATAAGTCTCAGCCTCAGAGCCCATCTACACACGGTTCTTGGCCTGTACATGGCCCTCAATGTCCTTGCACCCGCACTGCATTAATACACAAGAGTACGGAGACAGTAGCCTCGACTCAGATGTAAAATAGTTAGGAAACTATATGTAACAACTTGTGTATTTTAAATTCTGTTGCTTTTTGGTTTGTTTTTTTTTTTTTTAAGAAGCTCCCATCTCTGTTTGAAGAGAAATGTCCTTCTTGAAGCAGAGGCAGCAACTCAGTAACATAACAAGAACCAGACCCATGGCCAGCGTTTTTGTTCTGTGTCTGTGCAGTGCCCATCTCAGTGAGATCCTGGTCCCTGCCTGGGCAGCCACGAGGAATGAGGACCCAATAATACCATATAGACAAACCGGGACCCTTTTCTGTACTTATTTCCCCCGGCAGAAAGGAACTGGCCAGCACACTTGGCATGCCATAGTAAGGCACTCTTGAGATTTGAAACCCGAACATCCAGCTCTCTCGTGAAGATTAAATAAGATGTAACGGAACTGCTGAGGGTGGGAGATCCTGTCACTGGAGTTGGCTACAAGTAGGAACGTAGTTGGCATGGGAAGCTTTCAAGAGTTATTTCATTGTGCTGTTAATGAGTCCGTTGCAGTGAAAAGCCTTTGTGAATGACGTCCACAAAGCCTTTTACTTGGTATAGTGTATGCAGGAAGGACAGAGAAATCAGAGGTCTCTTCAAGCCGCTGTGGATATGATCACTGGAAGGGATGACAGAATTAGAAAGATGGGGTTGCCACTGAGAGTTTTTTTAAGCCACGATGCCTGTGGCGACGTGTTGCAACATCCTATTTTTGTAACAACATCTGAGGCAACACAGAAGTCGTTCAGACACCGCCTGGAATCATTTGGTGTTGTTGCTTTTCTCAGGTTTTTCACATCAGTTGGTTACTTTGGCCTGTCCCTCAGCACTCCAAACTGGCATGGAAGTGCCTACATCAACTGTTTCCTCTCGGCTGTTATTGAAGTTCCAGCTTACGTGATTGCCTGGCTTCTCCTCCGCTCCTTCCCTCGGCGCTACTCCTTATCTGGCACCCTGTTTCTAGGGGGAGGTGTTGTCCTCTTCATTCAGCTGGTTCCTGCAGGTACAAGAATCAATACATGACTTAAGGATATAAAATGTTAGCAATATTTTATGGTACTGTCTAATAGTTCTGTAAAATTACTGGAAACCACCATCAAATTTAGAATTTGAGGTCAAGTTTATGCTGACCACCTCCAGCCATGGTGAATTTTTTTATATGCGTATGTGTATGCTGAGTCATGCACGGCGCTCATTTATTGTGTCAAATTACTGAGCTTTTTATAGTCCAGGGGAACCAGCTTGTAAAATGAGAGCCAAAAGTGTACTGTGATTTATCTGGTTGTGCATAGAGGCTAAAAAAACCTGCAAGTCTTCCAGATTTCACTGTGTGTAAACCTCCGCAGGTTTTTTGTAAAACAGGGGTGGATTTAAGCTTGCGCTTTGTTGTTGTATAATCCAGAATTTTGTTCCATTTCAAGAATGCTGTTTTACTGGGAGAGGACCAAAATCTGAGAAGTACAAAATAACCTGAGCTAACATTATGCTCAGTGGGAAGTCTGGAGCCAAGTCATCTAGGAATGGGGCTAATACATTGTATAATTAAAAAAAAAACCCAAACTTGAAACCGCTAGGAAGAAAACAGTGATACAATCTTTGGGATGTAGAAGAAATACAAGAAATAAGCACAAGGTCTTGTTTATTCACCTTGATTTTATTTTTTTCCCCTCCAGATCTTAATGTTCTGTCCGTTGGCCTGGTGATGCTTGGAAAATTTGGCATCACAGCTGCGTTTTCAATGCTTTACGTCTACGATGTGGAGCTATATCCAACACTAGTGCGAAACATGGCAGTCGGAGCTACTTCCACAGCTTCCAGGCTGGGCAGCATCATTGCTCCTTACTTTGTTTACCTGGGTGAGACATTTTGCGTTTCTTGCCTTGTGCTACACAACTGCTCAGAAAAGTTTTCAGAGCTTCTGCAGTGCAGCCTCAGCTTTAAGTCCCTTCATTTGCTGTCTTTTAAGTCCCTTCTCTCATCTTGGGTCTGAGTTCTCTGTCAAACACCGTAGCAATGAAGTGGAGCTCCTTGGGTTCCACAAAAGAATCAGGCACTTTTTTCCTTTATTGAGGCTAGGGCCTGTTCGTACAGCACCAGAGCGGGTCCGAGCTGGTCCAAGACAATGGCGGTGTTTATAAACCGTGCAAGCGGAGTGGTTGGGATGATAATTGGTCACATCTTGGCAATGGGCTTTACCCCTGGGACACCAGTTAGTTTCCCAGGGGAGTGTGACAAGAAGCAATCTAGCAAGTTAAGTGCCAGTAGGAAGTTCATTGCATTGTACTCTTCATGCGCATCCCGAGATGGGTATGTCAGGAGCAGATGAACCAGACAGGAATCCAAACATCCCCTGAATCTGTGCTGTCTAAAGCAATACATGGAAAACATGCAGATTAAGCAGCACAAGAGTGTGTTTAATTGTGACCTTCATGATTTTTTTTTTGAGTTACTAAGCCAGGTACCTCGGCACTCATTTTGCTTTTTCTTATTGGTCATGGCTTGGTCTGCAAGCAGAATTACTGATTTCCTCATAGACTCTTTTTTTGACACTTATTACCATCACATTCTGAGTGCTGCAAAAATATTAATTGATAATTTTTTTTTTAAAGTACACAGAAATGATCCTCATGTTGCAGACAGGAAGGGGTGACAGAGATTAGGGGATTTAAGGGTGGAAGTATCTGTGAATACCGGCTGCTCAGTCCAGCGCTCAATCTCCCGTTTCTTTCACTCGCACATGATTTATTTCCTTCTGCCATCACTGGACCCACTGCAGCTCTCCCCTGCAGCTAACGAGTTTTGTTTTCTGCTGAGACCTTTGATACAAAATGAGTGTGGCTGCTGACTCTGGCGGAGCGTTGCTGGTGTATTGCTAAGGGGTTAATGCTGCTTCACCATGGCAGGAAAGGGGAGAGGAGACTACTGTCGGTAGCTCACCTGTGTTGTCTCACCTCTACATTCCAGTGTGACTGTCACACACTGTACCAAAAATGATGAAAATAATAGTCTTTATTTCATACTCGTACAATGCAAATGTAAAGTAAAAGGGACAGCATGACTGTGATGCTCCTTAGGGTCTTCAGTCTCCGTTGCAGCACAGGTAACAGTAATAGAGAGATGTAGACAGGATAAAGTTTTTACTGTTTGTTTTGGGTTTTTTTCTCCCAGGTTTCCATAGGCTCAGCCTTTAAAACATCTTGTTCCAGTCATCGGAATAGTTTCCTAAATTTTAGGAGGTTTTTAGGAGAAACTCGTCAGCTGCTGATATTTGCTACAGCTAAATTAGGACCTTGCAGTTCATCCAGCTCATGAACACAGGAGAGATCGAATCACAGCTTTGGCTCTATGTGAAATACCCAGGGGTCTTCACTTTAATCCTACTTTATTCCATACATTATAAAGCATACTGCTCTATCCCAACTAAAAAATAAAGCTGTCAAGTCCAGTTTAGTACTTTCTCTACCTTAAATACTTTAATTCCTAGCTAATCCCTTTACTGAAAGACCTTTTCATTGCTGTGCTATTGTGACTTGAAGATCTTGCATCCTGCCCAGCCACATGTGCACTAGCTTCAGGCTGCTGGCAGGGGCCGCTGCCTTCTAGTCCAAAATAATATTCTGAGTAGACCAAGGTCAGAGCCTCCTGTCTGTCACAGAGGCCTGATGCTTTCTCCCCTTGCAATAAGGAAGGTATTTAAGGATTCCACCTGTTAATGGTCCACTAGTCTGAAATTGGCCTGTTCAGCTGCCATCAGTCCCTTCCCTTCTTTTGCACAAGATCAGCAGGATGCACAATCCCAGGCAGCGGATGAGTGCTTCGTTGCTTATGAGCATTTTTATTCCCTCACATCAAATTCTTTAACTGAGGATTTGGTTCCAGATGACAGTGTAGTACTGAAAACTCCAGCAGTGATCCCAGCAGAGCTGTTACCTTGCAGAGATGTTGGCTATCCCAGTTGAAAATGTACAAAAAAACCTATTAGCTGCTACACAAACATGGGGGATGGTATGAAACTGATGGTAGGTGGTGACCATCTTAGGGTGCACGTTGTAGTTTTAAAATTGAAAAATCCCTTTGTTTGCTAGCAGATACCAGATGTAGCTCAGTTTTGGAGTCACCTTTGGTATTTATGAAGATTTCAGCTAATTATTGCAAAGTAATTCTGCATTACAGTGATGTCTAGAATACAAATTTTACATGAGTTCATTGATCGTGGACATATAAGCATTGGTGTCGTGTCCTGTGTTCTGTCAGGTGCCTATGACAGATTCCTACCATATATCCTGATGGGAAGCCTGACTGTGCTGATTGGGATCCTCACCCTGTTTCTCCCGGAGAGCTACGGCAATCCCCTGCCTGAGAGCTTTGAGCAGATGCTGAAGGTGAAATGGTAAGGCGGCTGTCATTCATCCCATGCTTCGCAAGAATTCAGGACCTCTTTCTACATAGTCCCTTTTCACAATCAGTAAACATGTTTCATCAGATCCACTGCAAAACATCAAAGCTCTCAATGTGCCCTTTAGATTTTTTGGGGGGTTGTTAATTTGACAGACAATGACATTATGCAGTTTCTCCAGAGTCTCCGAACCTGAGAGCTGATGCGCTTGAAAGTGGGCACTTGCAAATCAAGGCTGACCTTCACATCACCTTGACACTGTTCCTTCATATCTCCCAACACCTTCCATCCTTTGACATCATTCACTCTCCTTAATTCTTCATTCAAACTATTCAGTTAGTAGGATGATTTACATTACAAAACACTTTACTCTTTCAGTGTAAATTCATTAGGTATTACTCCAGATTAAACACAGGATTTCAATATTCTAGGCTCTAATTATTATAGCCTCTGGAGACATGCCAGGACAGCTTTTCTCCTGGTTTATTTTGTTTAGCTATAAGCAGTGACACTTCTCTTGCCCCACCACCATTGCTATTTAGGGTACCCTGAGTAAACATCTCCACTGAAATCCGTGCGCGTACATTATAGTGCTGGGGCAGTGGAGATGGCCAGTGTTTGCAAGTTACTGTCATGGGAGCAGCAGGGGGAAACTGAATTAGCCAAAGTGCCGCTGCATAGCTACCATCCAGCTTAGTGAGAATTTGTACTGGAACAGAATTTGCCCTTATAAGCAGTAATCGCTTGAAAAAGATGGAATTGCCTGTATCTAATTCCTGGTTGGTATAAGGAGCTGTCATTATGCTTCCAGAATAAGAAGAATTCTTGGGACAGGTTCCTTGAGAAGGGCGTGCTCGTGTTTATCACAGTTAGGGACTTCTTGTATGTCTGACCTATGGCTTTTCGGCTTTGCAGTTGACGAACTGTAGCTAGAAATCCGAAAGTCAAACCAGATTCCCTTCGCCAGCTTCTTGCATAGACTGAAGGAACTGAATTACGTTCAAGTTCCAAGTGGTGTTTGCTGCACTGCTTCTGCCATCCGGAAAGGCATCTTTTACAGAGCACTTGGTTTTTTCCTAATGTTTATATTAGTAGCGTAACGTGGTTGTTTTAGCGGTGCTAATTAGGAGGGTGTCTGATGTAAAATGTTCTCTAGCTTCTCAGTCTTTTACTTGCTTTCAGTTTCAGAAATGGGCAACAAACCACTGGCATTAGGAATTCAAAGGAGAGTCCTAAAATGCTGGTAACACCCTTGTGAAGAAGGACGCACACTCTCAGAGGGGCTGAAAGAAGATGATCTTCTCAAAATGCATTTCCTGCCAGAGGAAAACAAATAAAACCCAACAGTCAGTGCTGCTGCACCATAGTAGTTATCCCCTGTGCTACTGTACCCAAAAACATAGTTTACTGAACAGATGCCGTCTACTCCCATAGGATTCTCAGTCTGTAATTCAGTGTCCTGATACCTGGGGTTTGTCAGCACATACAGTCCCTCTTGAGAAGTGGGGGCCTGCCTGTGCTAATAAACACGATTTGAGGAGTGAGCTAGAAATGATCCTTAGGAATAATAACAGCGATGACTCCAGTCAGTCAGGTACTCAATGAAAGCTGCTTAGAGGTAAAAAAAGATAGCAAACATAATGCTGGTGTTTTTTCTCACTGTGAGTATTGACTGGATGAAGGGGAGCTGGGTGTCTGTCTTTGAAAATCTCAGCACACGCCCCTAAAGGAAAGATCCCAGCCTCTTTTGAAATCTGTGACCAAAGCCCGATAGACTAAGTGGGATCAGAATTTAGTTGTAGCAAAGCAGATATAGACTTCACTGTAAGGACATGGTTTTTAAACAAGACATCGGAGTATCTTTTGATGTCGCTTGCTTTTCCCAGGACCTGGGATCTACTCCTGATCCACTTGTCCCTGTAAAAGCTGATGTTTTTTCATAACGCCTCAGCCTGCTGAAATCCTTGGGCTTCATGAATGTTCAGTGTCTTTGGGGATGGGGGCAAGCTTTTAACACCGAGTAAGGACTACAGCTTGCTGACCTTCTGATGAGCCATGCCCACTTTCAAAAGAAACATGGGCTTTAGCAAGTCAATGATCCTATCCACACATGCCATGCAGTTTTAGCTTTCAGTTTTTTCATGGTGTATTGGCATAAGCATTTTTTTTTAGATCTTTGGATTTTTTTTCCAAAGCATTTAATTTCTCCTTTGAATATATACCATATTGTTCTGTACCTCCAAAGAAAGCTCATTGCAGTTTCAAAAGCCTCCACAAAACCTTTGTACCATTTACAAATTTAAAGGGATTTGATGCTCACAAAAAGCTGATGTTCTGTACTGCAGATGTTCACCTGCAACTGTTAAAAATGGAAAAGGACTAATTTGGGACCACGTTTTTTTCAAAACAAAAAAAAAGCCAACAAAGCCAGTGTTTTGTTTTTCAAATCCTACAGGTTATGTATGCATTTTTTAAAAGTTCAGCAAAGATAGATTGGATAAAAACTCAAACGTAGAGCTTAGAGTTGTGCTACTACTGTTATATGAACACTACATAGTTTGAAAAAAACTATAATACCTTTTATTTTTCTATTTATTGGCTGTGCATGCACTTCTTGGCCACATAAAATCTATCAATCAGACCTGGTAGACTGATTTTTATCCTCTATAAATAACCATTAGCCATGATTCACCTTCTGTAAGGGCCAACAAAAGCACGCTGTCTCCTCTCTAATGTGAAGTTCATGGCAAGGTGTCTTGTGCTGGCACCTGGCACAGGAATGAGGGTCTCCCTGTAAGTTCAAGCACAAGTATAAAGCTTTATAACATTTAAATGCAAGGAACTTGTGCAATTATTTCAAGCTGCTCTTTGGGATGCGGAAATACTATTTACTTTTGTATTAATTTTCTGCAGTTATCCTTTTGCCATAAATGTAATGTGGCATGAGGCAACCATTATCCTGTGACCCCTGATGTTCTCATCCCTTCTCAAGCTGGAATTTCTCTAACAGCAGCAGTATTTAATCTTGTTTTTACTTATTACAAAGTTAATCTATAGAATAGCTGTTAAGACATAACTAAATTTCTCAACAAAGCCTTTAAATCAGCGTAGGACAGGTTTGAGGACTTGGTTAAATATAGGTGGCCATATTTTTATGAAGATTTTTATATTAAGTTGATACTTATTTTATATGATCATAGGCTTGGGTATTTCTAAAAGGTACATATTTTTGTACTCTTGAACTTTGTAGTATCTTAAAAACTAGTTTTCCTTTTTTAAATAAGAAAAAGGGTTGTGTTTTTCTTTAAAATAACTTGTTTTAATCAGTCCCATTTTTCTTGCTTATACCATTGATCTCAAGCTAGTGTCACATTTTAGTATTTTTAATGGGAGATTTAAAAAAAAAAACTTTCATAAGAGTGGAATGCCTTTCTGAAAAGTATGTGATGTTGTTATAAGGCCTTATGGTGTCTGAGCGTAGTAAAAATGAGAAAAGGAGATATCTTCAGCTGATGAAACATTCACAAGGAGAATTTCTGTCCTCTGCCAGTATCTTTCCCAGGCTCGAATAGGGATTTCTGATAAAACCCAAAGAGCAATAGTCTGCAGAGGAATCAAACAGGGCTGAATCCGGAGGGCAGGAGTGCCCATTTCTGCCGAGCTACTATTTTTTTAATTGTACAGCTGAAGAAGGCAGCACTGGTTTAGTAGCTATTGGCGGAAATCAGATTTATTGCTAGTGAGCTATTTAAGCCTCTCACTGCAATCTTCAGTGAGTTTTCTGTGTGTCAGATACGCGGCGGGGCTCAGTACGGGACCGGTGTGCTGCCACGCAGCTGGGGGATGCCTGTAAGGCTCTGTCCTGGGGATGGGAGGGAAGCACCAGCTGGATCGCTCCCGCCGACCGCGGAGGCCAGTGCGCTGTGCCTCATCTGTCACCTATGTCACGTTTACTTGGGTCTCTCTGTGCAACCTTTGATCCTCAGCTGGCTTATTGGATCTGCTAAAGCATAAGTGAAACTGCAGTAATTGTCACTCGTTAACTTCTGTCTTCATTGTAATAAAAATGTGCACTGGCAGTACAATAAAAATGTAACCTGCTTTCTGTGTGGATTGTAATTGAAGAATAAAGTCTCCTAACTGTAACACTTTGGGCAAAGAAGTTTAAAGAAGTAATTTAAAATGTATTTAGCATGGATAAAGTAGGAAAATAAAAGCCTAAAATAAGCTCTTCCACACAGGAAGACTGTTATGGTAGTACAGTTTTTCTGGCTTTCAGGGGGTTCAATCCTGACTCTGCGATCCTGCAAAGCCCCAGACATAGACCCCGGCCAGGCTCAAGGATGATTTTGAGGTTTGACTTCTATTTTGTCCATTTCATTTCCCACCTTTGAGGGTTTTCACAACTGTGTGATTCCAACATGGAACGAAAGCTCTTTTTAAATACAAGCATTCAAAAATGCTGTAAAAGGTATACATTTGGCTTTTATCAATTAGAGGTGGAGAAAATATCAGAGACAAAAAGCCAGTCAGAAACGTGAATTAGTCTTATGGAGAGCAAGGCCAATTTCTGCAGTGATAATCATGAAACTTCTTAACTGAGCTCTATGGGAGACACGATCTTCCTGACAGTGCCGCTAGGTAACAACCTGGGATTTTTGGCCCAAGAATAGAATATTACTGATTACATTTATTAATTGTCAAACACATAGTACATGTTCCCTCAGAAAATAGTGTCATTGTCAGCAAAACCTTTTGACAGCCACCGACAATCATGCTGAAGGGATGATGGAAGCTGTGGGAAGGCGCTGCTGCAGACAGAAACAAGACGAGGAACCATTTAACACTTGGACTTGCAGAAAGCTGCCTGCTCTTGATAATGCGAAGAGCAAAGCAATCGGTGAAGGCTCTTGGCTCATACGTGGTAACAACCCAGACCATGGTGTTACTGAAGAACCCTGCACTGGTTCACCTGTAACACGTAGCTAAGCCCTGGGTGTTGCAGGCAGCTGAATAATGATTCAGTTAATCTGAGGAATCTGGACAGGCTGGATCGATGGGCCAGGGCCAACTGTATGAGGTTCAACAAGGCTCAGTGCTGGGTCCTGCACTTGGGTCACAACAACCCCAGGCAACGCTACAGGCTGGGGGAGGAGTGGCTGGAGAGCTGCCTGGTGGAAAAGGACCTGGGGGTGTTGGTCACAAGCTGGCTGAACATGAGCTAGCAGTGTGCTCAGGTGGCCAAGAAGGCCAATGGCATCCTGGCTTGTATCAGGAATAGTGTGGCCAGCAGGACCAGGGAGGTGACAGTGCCCCTGTACTCAGCACTGGTGAGGCCGCACCTCTAGTGCTGTGTTCAGTTTTGGGCCCCTCACTACAAGAAGGACATGGAGGTGCTGGAACGTGTCCAGAGGAGGGCAACGAAGCTGGTGAAGGGTCTGGAGCACAAG